ATTCTTAACTTCTTAGACTTCACAGTTACTTGGGGTAGCCATACTATCTCTATTTCTTTTGGAGCAGAAAGGGGCACATTTAAAATGGTCTTTGATTATAAGAATAATCAGAATAGGCATGTACAGAAAAAGTTCTAATGATGTGAATGAAGCTACCAATCTCATTACAAACCTTATGCACCTTTGTGTTTTTAGTCATTAGGTGCCTATCTTCTCTCCCCCTTTGTTTTAGCAATGGGACAGCAAGGCAGCAGCAAACGCCCAACGGTGGGCAAACAAGTGTGTTCTCAAACACAGTTCCTCACAGGATCGAAAAGTTGGTATGTAAATCAAATATTTGCTGAGTAGATGAACAAGTAAGATAATAAGGGGCCATTTTTGGATGTTGCATTAAGAAACCTTGTGGATAAATGTTGCTTCTAATGCTGTCTTTTTCAAGTTAAAGTCTCCCTGTGTGAGAGAAAGCTTCGAGAAGCACCACCTTATGCTCACTGTTCTGTCTTGTATAAAAACTGTCTCACACAATGTCATATTGGTGCCTCTTGACCATCTCATGAGTAAAGCAGGTCATATGTCATTTCTTTCTCTGTTTTAAAGAGTAAGGGACTCACTCTCAGCAGGAAAATAATTGCTAACAAGTGTTACATATGGGAAATTCAAAATTAGAATTTCAGACTTCTAACCCATTGCCCTTTTCATAGTGTGGAGCCTGTTTGTATTTTGAAAACTATTTATTTTTGAATTTATAAAATACGTTGAATTTTGTCAAACGGTTCTGAATTTTACTCAAAACATATTTACCATTAGCATCTTTTTAACTTTTGATGACAGGAAGTCAAATCTTTTGTGTGTTCTGGATGCTCTTACAAAGCATGCAATACTATATTAGACTCAAAAATAGCCTCAAAGACATGACCTCTACATTGAGGAACTTAAAAACAATAAGATATCATATGTATCGACAATTAAACAAAATATTTACTTGAAGCAGCAAGTGACAGATATAGGCAAGCCCAATTTGAAAATAGTAATTCACCTGTTTTGAAAGTAGGACTGTCACTGTTATTTTTGATTCTATAATTTAATGAAATTATTGAGAGGGATGACTTATATTCAGAGAAAGATTAGAATAACTGGTTTTGAAGATCCCAATCTACTGATAAAATTTCAGCGTTTTTCTTCCCTTCATAAGGAGCTATGCAAGAATAGTTTACACACCCTTTAAGTAGCATGTAGACATTACATTTCAAGCCATCCAAATGTAAATCTTAATTTCAAGGTTTGAAAAGTACATTGAAATGTTTGAGGGCTGCAAAGCACTTTTATCTAATTCTTTGAGGAGAAGTTGGCCTGCGACAGTATGTTTTGCCGATTAAAGGGAGACCCATAAACGTTGAAAACAGTGTCCCTCCTAATGTCATCTGCTTCATGCTTGGAACCCTTAAAGACTAAAAGTAAAATTGTTTCCAAAGTTTACACAAAATAAACATTTATTAAAGTTGCTATATATGAACAATTTCTGGTAAGTGTGGGTGAGAATAAGAGAAATACCATGAGTGGCTTTCTGCTTTCAGCAAGCTAACAATACACAGCTGAGAGCGCATGAGGCATACACTCATGAAGAATTCAATATGTAAATGAGTGACTTTAAGGGGAGTAGATATGAAAGAAAGAGGACTTCATCTACTCAAAATTTTGCATGTTGAACCAGCCTCAATGTGTTTGGCATATTTGGTTTCAATTCGGCTTACAGCTGATAAGGAACTTTCAACGATGGGCACTTGTTTGAAGATCAGGCACTCCATTGATAGATACAGATGATAGATAGATAGATAATAGATTCTCTCTCTCTCTCTCTCTCTCTCTCTCTCTCTCTCTCTCTCTCTTTCTCTCTCAGTATCAATCATTGCGTGCTTTATTGCTTTCCCCATGAATGGTCTGTTTTTTTTTCCCCTTAGGTAAAAGAAGCTGTGGTGAGAATCTCTTTATGTCAAGTCAGCCTAATTCATGGTCATATGCAATCCAAAAGTGGTTCGATGAGGGAAATGATTTTATCTATGGTATGGGACCAAAACAAAAGAATATAGTGGTTGGACATTATACCCAGGTGAGGAAAGAAAAGAAACACACACACACACACACACACACACGCACACACACAAAACTTTGCCATAAATGCCCTAAAGAGAAAGCTTCTCCAAATTTTGACTGATTCCAATGTTGAATCTGGGGGAAGATCTCCAGTAGGTAAAGAATAGTCTTCACATTTTGTGGGTATTTCAGCTGTGAGCCATCATTTTCAAAAGCATGCAGGCTTTTAATAGGAAAACTTACTCTGTATTTTTTGGGTAGTCTGAATGGATGAATATGCATGAAAATGTAATAGTTTTAAAGATTTTTACTTTAATTTAATAATTGAAGTATTTCCATAAGGTATATGAAATTGTGTGTTAGTAACATTCTTTTCCGTTTTTTTTATTTTCTATTATTTATTTTTTTATATTTCCTTCTCTAACGTACTCTCATATTTGCACTTATGGGCATGTAGGTTGTTTGGTACTCATCTTACCTTGTTGGATGTGGAATTGCCTATTGTCCCAAAGAACGAAGTCTGAAATACTTCTATGTTTGCCAATATTGTCCCAGGTAAGGAGATGCTTTCAAATTTGGTGTCAATGATGCCACTGCCAATTTAATATTTTAAAATTATCATGTAATAGACAACGCAGACTACAAAAGCACATTTCAGTGAAGGGGAGAGATAAATCTTTAGAAATATGTTCTAAATTTGAGACACAACCAACTTCTCAGAAAGAAGACCAATTTCTCACATTGAGTCTACTATTCGGAAGCTGTCTTCCATCATGATTAAAATGATTTGTCTTCCCTCTCAACTGCTTTTCCAGAGGCTCAGGGCTACTTCATGGGTGTATGTTGTGTGTAGTTCTCTAGACTTGGTACTGTCAGTTTTATATTAAATTCACATCTGGAAAGTGAAAGCTGGATGGTAAGGCCAGGAGTGAAGGTGAAATAGAAGATGGTAATGATTTCCTAGTGATTTCAGCCCCTTGTACTCAAATATTCCTACTCCTCCTCATCCAAAAATACCTGTAGTGTACCATTAAGAACTGATTAAATCTTGGGCCTCAAAGGGTTTTCAGGAAATTCCTGATATATTTCAAATTGTCAAGAAATGGTCATGTCTTAAGTATCCACTTCTTAGAATTTAACACAAAAATCTCTGAAAGAACTACCCATTAAAATCTTTTTTTAGCCCTAACCAGTTTGGCTCAGTGGATAGAGCTTCGGCCTGCGAACTGAAGGGTCCCAGGTTCGATTCTGGTCAAGGGCATGTACCTTGGCTGCTGGCACATCCCCAGTGGGGGGCGTGCAGGAGGCAGATAATAGATGTTTCTCGCTCATCAATGTTTCTAACTCTCTATCCCTCTCCCTTCCTCTCTGTAAAAAATCAATAAAATATATTTTTTTTAAAAATATTTTTTAATAGCTCTGGCCTGTGTGCTCAGTGGTTAGAATGTCTGACCAAACATGCAAGGGTCAAAGGCACGTGCCTGGGTTGCAGTTTTAATTGCCAGCCCTGGTCCAGATGCATGCAGGCTGCAATCAAGCCATGTGTCTCTCTCAAGTTGATGTTTCTCCCCCCCCACACCCCCTTCCACTCTCTCTAAAAATCAATGGAAAAAATTACCTCCAGTGAGGATTAACAACAAATATATCTTGATGTAGAGCAGAAAAATAACCCCTTCCTCCAGCAATATGTTTGAATTCTCCACAAAAATTCTGATGGATATATTGAAGATATATCCACAATATATAGGTTATTTTTGATGTTTGAAATTACTTGCCACTGGAGGGATAGATCGCTCCCCCCAAAACCAAGCTTTTGACATGATTTATTTTAAGACTGCAGATAAGCCAGGTGAGGTTGGGTTCCAGTCTGAGAAGTGTGACTGTCACAGTCATTTTCCTGCAAGCACTGGTTAGGGTTTAGTAGAAAGAATTGAAGGGTCCTAAGAGAATGCACCCAAACCAACTGCCTGGCTGTGAGAGTGGAGACATCTGGAGCCAGGCATCTGTAGTAAGGGTTGGAGTGAGTAGTAAGGAAAACAGGAGCAAGAAACACCTTGATATCTATTTCACTTTTTTTCCAGGTGCTCACACAGATACAGTTATATTCTGTGCAGAGAGCCTGAGATTCAGATGCATTGCCTTGGGACCTTGGACCCCTTGGTCCAGTTGACATTTTGACTCTGTTGTATTTTTAGATAACAGCCAATAGAGTAATCATCATCCATCAAGTGCAGGCTAGTCATGGTAACACCACTATACTCTGGAGATTGGTGTTAATGAAACCTTTTATTCTAACTAACATTCCCATGTTTGGTAAACATAAAATCTCACACACAAAACCTCTAGATGTTCAAAATCCACCCTAACACACCCACCTCCTCAAAAAAATGCTTGAAAATATCTCCATCCTGCAGCTAGAGGCCAAACATTATCTTGGAGCTTCACTTTCTCCAGTCCATATTATAGAAATGGTCAATAATTATAGTTACATTTTAAAATATAAAATTACATTTAATATTAAGCATTTTCCATTGTGCAACCTTCAGTTCATAGGAGCTTCTACAATATCTCAAGGGGAGAGGCTTTACCCTTAGCCAGCACCTCAGGGCGCACTGCTCAGCAATTTGACGATGTCTACTGAGAGAGGAAAGGTGTTGCCACATTAAAATATAGTCTCAAAACTTTAGACCTATTTATTCCATTTCATTTGCTCGGACTGTGAGATTATGGTCAAGGAATTGAGTGTATGTGTGAATTATTACTTACCTTGCATTGTTATCTGAGTATACAGTAGATATGCAATATTAGTTTTTCAGGTAACACAATGAAAAACATTGAGTAAATACTCAGCTATATAAGGTGATAGATGCTACCCTTGGAGCATGAACTACACTGAAAAAATGTTGTATTTCAAATTTCAGTGGTAATATTGTCGGCAGAAGCCTTACTCCCTACCTCAAAGGAACACCTTGTGCCAGCTGCCCTGATCACTGTGACAATGGATTATGCAGTAAGTCTGAAGTCATTAATTTACCAGTATAATTAAATAACCTGACATTTATTTTTAAAAATTCAGAAAGCTTCTGAATGGAGCCAATTTAAGCAATGCCTTCATACAGAAGACAATGATAAAATTAACCAACAGAGTGTGTTTAAGCAAACATCTAAAACCCTTCAGAATATACGTACTTTTCTCAATGGAAGCCTGTTATCATATGTAACCTAAAGAAATATCTACCAATGATGTATATTTGTGACTATGTTGAACCAATTACATTTTGGCATATCTGAACATGTTTCTGTGAAAATAATTTATTGTAATTAAATATGAATTTTCTTTTCATCAAGTTAATGCTATTATAGAAAAGGTGGCATTTTAAAAAGAAAGTATATACAAATATAAAGGTGTGAGACCACAGAATATAGCTCAGTCTAGACAGGCACACCAAATACTAGTATAGTCCCTTATATACCAAAGTATTAATCATATTAAATTTCTCATTTTCCTCATAGCATAGTTGGAATCATCAAGTTTAATTTAATAATCGTTTGCACTTTTGTTTTGCTAGTAACTTTTATGTACTTTAAATATGTCCATCAAATTTGCAGAAGCCTCAAAACTATTTCAGCAAAAAGAATAAAAATTAATGTTATATTATATCTCATTTCCAGTGTTGTTATGAATGGAGGTACAAAGAGGTTTTTTTTTAGTTGGATGTATTATTAGAATTATTATGAATAATACAGTTAACTCGTTTTTACCTCTCAAATGCTTTCACCTGACTAAACTGTAGCATCCTTTCTGAGTGAATGATATAGCCATAATTGGTTCAAAAACAAATAAAATCTTTACTGTATTTGAGCAAAATGAATGAAGAGATATGGGCAGTTTATGAGAGACAGGGAGAAGTAGAATAGCCAGTGTTTATTACCTGCACATGTTAAGCGCTGATAAAAAGTAGAAGGGGATGAGTTCAGGTAGATTCCTAGTTCTTGGTTTGAATTATTTAGTAGTGGGGACTGCCATGCCCCTGAGATTGGGTGAATTGATTTGGGAGTAGGGGAAATATACCAAAGAAATGCCAAACGTGTAGGTAGGATGATGAATTTAGTTTGAGATGTGTGGCCACCGAGGGACAACCAAGTGGAAATGTCCAATAATAATAGTAAAATTCTATTTTTATATTTTTTACTTTCACATCTCATAACAACTTCTTACTCCTGAAGAAAAGCTGGTGGCATTAAGTTTAGTGGCAACAGTGTCTAATATAATTTTCTGTGATGATGGAAATGGTCAATATTTGCACTGTCCTGTAAAGTAGTCCCTAGACACATTGGCTATTGCGCACTCAAACTGTAACTAGTATCACCGAGAACCTGAAATTTCAAAGTTATTTCATTTAAATTTAAACAACCACATGGCTAGTGGCTATACTTTTGGACAGTGCAGTTTCATAAAGATTTATTTAAATTCACTTCATCCTGTTTTCTGAGGGAGGAAAGCCAGTCATTTATTTTAGAAATATTTGGCATCAAATTAAAAAAATGATGCCTTAATCAGTGAATTTAACTAAGGGGCCTTATGTCCCTCAAGATAGGAAATGGCCATCAGAGCATAATGAATGATGCCAACTTGTTCATTCTATTTCCTCCTCCTCACTCACATAGAATTTATTGTTTGTGTTACTTACTGCTATGGAGGAAAATGATAATGAAGTGACTAATTTTTTTTTGCTTTTGTTCCAGCCAATGCTTGCGAGTATGACGATATGTATTCTAACTGTAAAGATTTGAAGAGCCAAATGGGCTGCGGAAATGATTTTGTCAAGACGAATTGCAAAGCCGCCTGCAATTGTTCAAAAAAAATTTATTAAATGCCCAGTATAGACTGATCATGGTTAAGTGGAAGGGAGCCACATCTACTTACACTTGACATTTATTAGCAAAGAAATCATATACATGTTAATTATAAATTTGATTCCAAATAGTTATATCTTTTTCTCCTGGCTCTGCTTTTTACTTTAGAGAAATGTCTTTCATCCAAAGGAGAGTTCACATGTGTGGTCTTTAATTCCTCCTTTGCCATTCACCCTTCTCACTCATCTAGCGTCCATCCCTATAATTAAATTAAATTGTTTTTCCTCCTAAGGAGAACCCAACCTTCATTTTGCCAAAAGCAATGAAGTCTTCTGATTCTTCATCTGTATAAATTGTACAGTAGGGTATGACCACACCCTCTTTTTTTAAACCTCTCTTCTCTTAGACATACCTTCCTTAATGAAGAACTTAATATCATATACATAAATACTCTTTCCTCCAGGAGGTAGAAGTTAGTTTCCTCTCTTTTGAGCCTGGGCTGACCTTAGTGACTCATTTCCAAAGAGTCAAGTAGGGAAGGGAGCTATAATAATTTCACAGTAGAGAAATCTGGCAAATGCCACTTTAACTAAGTAATCACAGCAGCAGCATCTGTAATAAGTGGACTCATGTACCCTTCATCTGATGTGATTAGAAAGGCATCTCACTTCTGTGGTATTCTTTCTAAAATCTTGTAACCCAAATCTCATCATGAGATAAAACAGGCAAATTTAAATGGAGGGACATTCTACAAAATACCCCTGATCATGACTCCTCCAAACTATTAAAATCATGAGCAGTAAGGAAGTTCAGAGAAACCTTTACAGACCAGATTGACTAAACAAACATGAGCACTAAATACAACATGGCATTTTGGATTGGATCCTGGAAGAGAAAAAGATCATTAAGGAGAAAATGGTGAAATCTGAATAGACTCTGTAGTTTTTTTTAATAGTAATGATGATTTCTTAGTCTTTCCAAATGTACCAAGATAATGTAAAGTGATAACATTACAGGGAATTGAAACTGGATTTAGAGTATATGGAAAATCTCTGTAATATTTTAGCAACATTTCTGTAAATCTAAAAAGACTCCAAAATAGCCCTTGTGTTGCTTAGTGGATAGAGTGTTGGCCTGTACACCAAAGGGTTCCAGGTTTTATTCTGATTAAGGGCATGTATATGGGTTGCATATTTGATCCCTAGCCTGTGTGGGAGGCAACCAATCTCCCTCTCTCTCTCTCTCTCTCTCTCTCTCTCTCTCTCTCTCCCCCTTCCTAACCTCCCTCTCTCTCACTCACTCTAAAAATCAATGGGGAAATATATCCTTGGCTGGTGACTAACAAAAAATAATAAAATAAAATAAAATGACTCCAAAATAAAAAATGCATTGTAAAAGAAAAATGAAAATCTCTTTTTCTTGGCTCCATGACACTTCATACTTGTTCTCTAGATTATCTGGTTATTCTTTCTCAGGCTCCCCTTCCCCCCACCCCCCACTACCACCAAATTTGAAGTCCTCACTTCCACTGCTAAATGTTTGTTTTCAAGAACTTTTAGATAATTCAAATGATTGGATTGTCAAATCAAACTCAGCTGCTTATCCAGGGTCTAGGATCACTAATCATTTCAAGGATATCAGCCACGAGGCAGAGGCAAAGGCAAAACAGGGATAGGTCCAAGACCACCAATGTAGCTTCCAGATGGTGTTTCTGCAACACATTTCCTAACCTCAACAGTGATAAACTTCCTAATTTGTCTACTTTCAAAACCTCCCCATAGAGCTCTCAAGTACTGAAGATAATGTTTATGCTCAAATTGATGAGCAAGAAGGTAAATCATTTTTCTCTACTTTGCTATCTAATTTCACTTTATCTCATTCTCCTTTATTTTTTTAAAATATATTTTATTGATTTTTTACAGAGAGGAAGGGAGAGGGATAGAGAATTAGAAACGTAAATGAGAGAGAAACATCAACTAGCTGCCTCCTGCATACCCGCCACCGGGGATGTGTCTGCAACCAAGGTACATGCCCTTGACTGGAATCGAACCTGGGACCTTTCAGCCCACGGGCTAATGGTCTATCCACTGAGCCAAACTGGTCAGGGCTTCTCCTTTATTTTTTATGCTCCTATGACCTCATCAAATTATCTCAAGCTTCTCAAGATTTGTCTTAGCTTGGGGCATTTGTGTTTGCCATTAGCGCTGTCTGGGAGAATCATCCCTCTATTGGTTGCTAGAATAGTTTCTTCACATTGAATGTCATTGCATCCAAGACATTCCTTTGAGTAAATAATCTGAGGGACATCCCCTCATAGCTCCCTACACTTTCTTTCACAACAATAATTACAATGTGTAATAATCCATTCCTGCATTCAACAAATATTTATTGGAAACAATTATGACTCAAGTATTTATTTAGTTCCTTTGAAAATAGTGATTAACAGAACAGACCAAGTTCAGAACTTCATGGAGTTTACACTATAATAGGGCAGAAAGAAAACAACGTATTTGCAAATAAATCCTAATATAGGAAGTGATAAGTGTTATAAACTAAAATGGGCAAGAGAATGAAGAAAAATGAGGACAGGCTGGGAGGGGAAAATATTTATTTAAATATGATAGGTAAATATTCTCTGAGGTGATGACAATGGATTACAGCCACAATAGGAAAGAGAAAACAACCAATAACAATGACTAATCAAGAAACTTTCAGGCAAAGTTGTTGAGGTAGTAATGAACTTGGTATATTTAAGGAAAGGCAAGAAGGCCAGAATGGCTGGAGCACAGTGAGCAAGGTAAAGATAATTTTAAAAAGGGGTCAAAGAGCCCTAACTGGTTTGGCTCAGTGGATAGGTCATCTGCCTGAACTGAAGGGTCCCAGGTTCAATTCTGGTCAAGGGCACACGTCTGGGTTGTGGGCTCAGTCCCCAGTAGTGGGCATGCTGGAGGCAGCCAACCAATGATTCTCTCGTCATTGATGTTTCTACCTTTCTATCTCTCTCCCTTCCTCTCTGAAATCAATAAAAATATATTTTAAATAAATAAATAAGGCGTCAAAGATTAGGTACAAACTTAGTCACAAACTTACCTGCCATTCAGGGCAGGTAAAGAACTGTGATATTATTATAAGTAAACAATGAGATATAAATTGTAAGAGGACAAAATGAAGCAAAAATCTGGAAAACAAGATAAATATTTCCCAACTCAAGCTAATATTACCATTTGCCAAAGCCAAACATCACAAGAAAACTACAGTCTTTATCCCTCATGGGCATAGATGCAACCTATAAAAAGGATCGTACACCATGGCAAAGTAAGGTTGTCCAAGTATAAAAGGCTGTTCCAACATTCACAATCAACTAATGTTATATACCATATTAATAAAATAAAGACACGATCATCAGAAATGATGTAAAAAATGCAGTGCCTTTCATAAAAACAATGTTCAGAAGACTGGAAATAGAAGGTAACTTTCCCATCTTAATAAGGAACATCTAACAAAATCCTCCAGCTGACATTATACTTAGTGATTGACTGAGTGCTTTCTGGCTATATTACTTTGTAGGTGAGTACACCATTGTAGTACTTTTCAATCTGGAATCCACCATCAGGAATAAGGTGAGGATGTCAGCTTGCACCACTTTGCTCACATTTTAAGCTTACAGCCAACGCAATAAAATAAAGAAAAAAAATAATTTAGAGGCATATAGATTAGAAAGGTAGAAACAGTCTTTACTTGCAGATTAAAATGACCTTTCCTGATGTTTCTGCCTCTAATAGAACTCATAAGCTAAAATAACTCATAAGCAAGTTTAGCACGGTCCTGAGATTACAAGGTGGAACAGGGAGCACCTTACAAATAAAGCACCAGGGTAAGAAACATAGCGGGCTTCTCATCAGAACCCATGCAAGAACCCACTTCTTCCAACTCTCAGGCACCTAGGACACTGCTCCTTTCGGCTCAGCACGCGGCCAGCGCCGGATTTTGTGTAAGTACCTAGAGGTAACTGCACTGCCCCCATCAATAATGAGGATGTACTTTTCAGGTGCTCACCAACACGAGTCAACTCTCAACCTACAAGGTTTCTTTATTCTAGATTTGCCCTCCATAGCAAACTCATCAACACTGCTTTTTAAAAACAAAACAAAAAACAAAAACAACTCTTCACACCCCAACCTTTTGTTCTATTTCTACTGCTTTAAAGTTAATACGATAAATTGTGACCACACTCATATTTTTTCCATCACCAATCTCTCAGCTCTGCAAATCACCCGCACAGTGCGATCAGGTAGCTTTCATGAAATAATATTTGGTCGTGTAATTTCCCTTCTCTCTAAACATCAGTAAAATTACTTCCCCATGTTATACAAGGAGGCAAATCTCCTTAGACTTCTCTACAAAGCTCCCCCCGCCCATTTTCTACAGCCTAACATTCTGACGTACATATGCCTTAATGATACGCTGATTTGTTTCTGCTCTTCATACCAAGCATACAAAACTTGTCTTCCTTCCTGATCAAATCAGATACATTTTCAGAGAGGTTCAAATGAAACCCTACCATCTAGTTTTTACCCAGATGATAGCAACTGAAAGAACTTCCAATTGCTGCATATATTTCCTGTTTCAACTACTTAGCACTAAACTGCACTACCTGGTAATGTTCATACGTATTTATCTTTCCCACAACACTATACACCTTAAAGAAAAGAGATGGCATGTCCTTTTCTCTGAATTCTCTAAGGATCTAAGCCAGGCTAATATTAAGTCACTGAACTAATATTTGCAAACTGCCACCTATCTAGTATTGTGCTAAGCTTTGGAATTATACCAATAATCAAGAGAGACATAGTCAATACAGGGGGTGGGCAAAAGTAGGTTTATAGTTATGAGTACATGAAAGTTTGTTCTCATATTATTATTTATTAATTATTACATTATTTTCTATATGGACAACTATACCCCTACTTTTGCCCACCCCTATATATATTTCCCAGACAATATCTATCACTACAATATTCAAATTGCTCTCATTATGATGTTCTCCATGAGGACAAATAGTAATCATGGAGACATGGTGCCTCCAAGAATAAAAAAAATAGGACATTCACAGTAAATTATAGCATATTATAGGATAACAATGAATTGTTTTGCACTATAAAAAGAACACATGTACCAAATAATTCTATTTCTAAAAAGTGAGCAGCAATTTTGTGGCTATGTGTTACAGGGTAGTGAGAAGCTAGAAAAATTTTTAAGCAAGTGGAATAGGAAACTAAGTCAAGAAAATTGAACAAGGCCAAACAATATAGGGAGCTTGAAGCTAGCTTGTAAATAACAAGCCATTATCTTCCCCAACTAAGGACACTTGAGAGCAAATACCCCTTCCCACAACTGCAAGAATCCAGAAGAGAGGGGGAAGGGGAGGGGGAGAAAAGGGGATTTTTTTATTGTTTAAAGTTTTACATATGTCTCCTTTCCCCCCAATTGACCCCCCCCCCCCATCCCAGCCATTTCCACCCTGGGCAAGCCCCCACCGCCCCAGGGTCTGTGTCCATTGGTTATGTTAATATGCATGCATACAAGTCCTTTAGTTGCTCTGTAACCCCTTCTCCCCTACCATTTGTCTCTGGATCTATTCTTGTTCATCAAATTATGTTGATCATTATATCCAATATGAGTGAGATCATGTGATATTTATCTTTCTCCAACTGGCTTATTGGAGAAGGGAATTTTTTAATGCCTCTTCCCCCAAACAAAGGAAGGAAAGAAGGAGTACTACAATGGGGGGATAAGGACACATTTGTAATATCTTAAGCAATAAAGGAAAAAAAAAATCTGTCTCACTAACAAAGAAGTCAGTCGTTTTGGAAAAGGAAAAACAAAAGGGGGGCAGTTTATTTCACTCCATGAACAGTGAAGATAGCAAAGTCCCTGGGCTTTTAAAGATACAATTGCCAGGTGTTTCTCATAAATACTGGCAAAGTAAAAGAGCTAACCAGGCCCTAATGGTTTGGCTCAGCAGATAGAGCGTCAGCCTGCGGACTCAAGGGTCCCAGGTTCGATTCTGGTCGAGGGCATGTACCTTGGTTGCGGGCATATGGAGGCAGCTAATTGATGTTTCTCTCTCATTAATGTTTCTAACTCTCTATCCCTCTCCCTTCCTCTCTGTAAAAAATCAATGAAATGTATTTTTAAAAAAAGAGTTAACCAGTACCAAGATATCTAGCAGATAAATTTTAAAATCTATAGTCAGAAAAGTATATAAGGCACACCCTCCCCACCCTGCCCCACCACGCTCACTCCTCAAATTAGCCCTGAGAGCCCATCCCCACTTCAAGCTAGATGATAGATTTCTTGCCTTGCTCTTTACTCCATTTGCATGGTTTACTTGCTTAATAGATTTGTTTTAACACAATGCAATTCTCTGGAATTACTCATTTGAATTGATTCCTATGAGCATGACAAGAATCAAGTGGGCTGGCCCAGGGGGTTATCGAGTAATGCCTCTCTGGTGCCTGTGAGAGGCGCCTGTAACCTAAGTATCCGAAATGTTAAATTAATAATCGAAGCAAGATTTGTCCAAAACATAAATATAGACGTGAGGAAGATCTGGGAATGGATTTATAAACACTTAGAAAAACCCTCTGTCAGGAGTATCCTTTGATTTAATGTAACCATAAGAGTAAAGCAATATAAGATGACTTGTAAATCCCAAGACTTTTAAGCCAGTTGTAATTGAACTGAAATAGCAGAGAAGAACTAAAATAATGTCTGTGCAGTTATCACTTGGAATTTTAACATTGCAAAGGGAAAGTGGCACTCAGCACCATGAAACAAGGCCCTCTTGTTGCAGTTGAGCCTATGTGAGTTTCAAAGGGCTGGGGAGAAATTTCAAGCCTCTCTTCAGGGGCACAGAGAGCTAGCAGGTGATGGCTGATAATCCTTGGTTTGACATCTTTAGACCCAACATATCCTCTAAGTAATATATTAACTCATTCCTTTAAATCTTGAAAACAACTGAGCATAGCAGAAAATGTATCTATTAACCATCTGCCCTCGTGTGAAGAGAGGCAACACAGTTTCAAACCACGCCCATTATACCTGCTGACCTTGGAAGCCATCAGCCTTCCATCAGGAATTCTGGGCATTTTCCTAAGACTCAGTCCTGTGTTCCTGTGACTGTCTTTGAATTTCCTGACAACAAAAAAAGGTGCGGAAAGAATAAAGCAGGACACGGACATAGAGTGTTTATGAGCAAACCCGCAAAATGCCAACTTGACCTATGTAACCCTGAGCTCACTGTTCCCATCACGCTGGTATCGCACTGAAAACTTAGGTATCAGTAGACTTTTCCAGTCTGTTCTTTAAATTCTGGCCCGCGCTGACTCAGGGGATCTTGTCTGTAAAGGGACGCCTGCTTTTCAGCCAGCCCTGGGCATTTTAAATCCTGCTAAATCGCCATCCTCTTTGTACTGTCCGGTGTGTGAGCAGACATGTACCTTCCTCATCATGGTAGTGAGAGAAAAGCAGATCTCTGCTGTTGATAAGGGAGAATGTGTAGGATTTTCTCCAGGCGAGCCCTGGAGGGAGCTGAGGGGGGAGTTGGGGGAAGAACCCGGTTAGCCTGACTGTGCTGCGGCACAAAGCCCTGTGACGTGGCGCCCACGTGGCTGACCGGCCGTTTCACGGCACAGCAGCCGTCGGAGGGGCCAGTTGCAGCCCGTCCCTGGCTCTGGCCCTGAAGCAGGAAGATCTGGGCCCAGGAGCCAGGGTAGGAAGTAGAACAGGCTGGGAAATTGGAAATGACCAGGGCGGGGGAGGTGGGGTAAAGACAGGGGAGAGGACGATCTGTGATGTGAGGGGTCTTGTGACCTTAGTACTCTGTCCCTCTGGTACCCATCCTTGGCTGACTCAGTGCGCCGGGCAGAGTGTTTCTCGGTGTGGCTTAGTGCCCATTCGCCAGAGGCTTTCAATGCGCGTGTCTACGTGAGTCCTATTGAAACTCTTCGTCTATCTTAACGATAAATCATTCTATTCACACGGTGCGCTCTGAGTCATAGCCGAAGCCTAAAGTCATTTCTAAATCTGGCCTTCCACAAGTCAACTCGAGAAGTTCCGCTTCTTATGTTTTGAGTGCAGTTATTAGAAACTATGTATTATCACAGACAAGTAGAATTGTGGTTGTTCAATCTTCTGGGCTTTATATCATCTCCTGGCTTCCAAGAAATGACATGAAGAGAAGTATAGGTGTGACCAAAATCTATGTTGTAAATGCTCTCATTATGTGGGTGTCTACTTACAGAGTTTATCTTCTAAAGAGCATACGGGTTACAGGCCTAGATGAGGAGTTGTGAATCTTGAAACTATGTTGTGATATTCCAAGGATGTCAGGTGTGTGAGCAGACATTTACTTTTTAGTATTTGAATAAAATACAAGAATGTCAAAACAGTTTGATCTTAGAAGGCAATTATGGTCTTAACGATGAGACCAAATTAATATTAGAGAACAATACTAAACAGTTGTGTCGATGAGTTTGGAGATGAGTGCTTCTACCGAGTCTCCATATCTTTATGTTAAATGCCCTCTTTTGCCCTGTTTCAGGATTATGGAACCATACACCATGCTCTTCCTGTAGACACCCCAGCAGAACCCTGATATCCTGGTTTTAAAACATCTGCAACAAAGGGCACAGTACTTTTCTATTAGTAAGTAGTGGGGGAAGGAGGGAATGGCAGCCAATCTTTCAACTATGTATGCATGTGGGTTTAAAGGAATAAAAAAATGATCATTTTTCTTTCTGTAAGAATCGTCTCAGGCTGATGTAAAGGATAAATTATTGGTTGTACACAAAATGCTAAATCAAGGCCCGGGGAGGAAAAAGGGGAGCTAAGTACAGGCTGGTCATGATTTTATACTAAGGATAGTTCACTGAGTATGTAATAAAAGGAGCAAGATAAACGCACTTTGAATTTTCTTTCTTTGAAAATAACTATTTTATGGAAAGGTGATTGAGTTTATAATACCAAATATTAACATGGGTTTCCATTTTGTTAATGCAGGTTACTTAATCTTGTATTCTCTTTTTAGTAGTTATTCAAAATAAATACCGAACTTTGAACATAATGTTAAAAACACTAGTTACTGAATGAATTTATTAATGTATTTGTTTTCAAGTGGCAATACCCAGTGATTACCCACCTGGCATCCTGGTTATGTCACTCCTGAGTGCCTCCTATGGGCCAAGTAGTTTCAGAGAGGAGGGTGGGATTGGGGGATAGATGAGGGGCTCACTGTTAAATATTGTACAAGGTGCAGTGGCAGCACAATGAAAGTACTTGTCATTCACCACTTCAAAGTAACAACAGTAGAGTAGACAGTTTATCTTGCCTGTGTTGGCCATCTCTCTACCCACTGTGTTATTAGCCAAGTTACAAAAGTAGAGTAAGAAACTAATTTTGAAAATACCCCTAAATATGTGTTCAGAACCTTAAGAGAGAGCTGCATGACTTCGATTGATAACTAAATGGGGGTAAGGAAGAATGTGTGGCCCATTTCAGATAATGCTGCTCTTAAAAACCTATTCACTAACTTAAAGAGTGTTTAGAAATGAATGATTGTGAATAACCATGTAAATAGCATTAACCTTTCAATCTTAAATGTATCTATATAAAATACGAAGAAACTTACAACATAGATACAGTGGGCCTATTATGGAACTATGTAATCAATGAATGTGAACATCTGGCCACTAAGTTCTGTATTTTAACTGAAATTTGAAGAACTTATGAAAGATAATTCTTCATTAAGAATCTTTGGTTAATGGATTCATGGTGTGGTGGTTCAGGTATGGCATGTGATGGTAATTTTTTAGTCATGGATGTAAAATCTACATAATTTAGTGCTTAAAGGGTTAATCAGCAGATTATGTAATTAATGTCACAGTAAGTTATAGTTTGCCAGTAGCTCTAAACCATGCTAACCGGATGCTTCCCCTCTAATTTGTATTTAACTTCATTTGAGATAGTACCTTCAACTCAGATATTTGGCTCTCCAGTGAAGGCATACATATCTAAAGGTGATCTGAATCTTCTCTCCCTAGAAAACTAGAAACTTTTTTGATGGTTGTAAAAGATAATGACCTATGAAGGTTTCATGTTTCTTGAATTTTACTTTCTTCACTTGTCCAACAGTGGCCAGTTTGTAATATTTATATAGTTATACACTGTGCCTTAAATTTTTAGATTTTTATTTATGCAAACTATAAAATCCCCCATACATGCAAAAAAAAATAAATACAGGTATTAGAAACACTTTTGAAGTTAGAAGTTTAATCAAACAACATGCATTTATGGAAGCTCTTAGGAGCCCAGAACACTACCATACAGTATAAAGGATAACAATGAAAATATTGATAATTTCCATTTATTGAGTATTCTATGCCAAGCATTATATTAAGGTATTTTATGCCTTTCAGTTTTCAAAGCAAATAGATGATAAGATAATCCACATTTTACAGAAGAGAAAACTGAATTTCCAAGAGGGTTTCCCAGCACTGATGTTTTTAAAAACTATATTCGCAACCAATAAGCTATAGAAAGTTGTTAACTAGGAAGTCAATGTCACAGAAAGCTGAGCCACAGCAGTTCAGCCACAAAGTAGGATTGAAATTACCTTTGAAGTGATTAACTTGTCTTGAGTGGTTATAAATATACTAGGTCAAAAGGGCAGCATCCAAATATTAGGGTGCCTGAGAAGAGAAGGCTGGGTAGGGAAGAAGGGCATGCTTTACTCAGATTAAAAGCTACATAGGAATCAATGTCAAAAACAATGTCAGACAACTGGCAATGAAATTTTAAGCTATTGGTGTAAAAAATTCTGTTTCAAAAATTTATTGACTTAGATTTACTGGAGCCACCAGAATTTGCTGAAACACAAGTAGGTGAAATATATATGGTGCTCTGACCTTCTCTTCACCTCCCTTCTTCTACCAGGTAAAGCAGATACTGCATCCTGCTCTGAGGACCAACAGTAAGTGATGACTCATGTATTGTAATGTGAACATGTTGTCAATCATTTTTATTTTTCCAATGATAAAATGACATATTTAATCTATCTATGGTGTTTCAAAACTTTATGGTTAAGTTTTTATTATTGAGAGAATCAAGTAAATTTTACTCACTATATCAAATTGAAACTTAAATGAACTCTTTATATTTCATTCTAAAATAGATGCTATAAATAATTCCCATGTTTATGACTTTGAAACAATTGAACTAGAACTAGAAAAAGGTAAAAATGTGACAATTTATATATATATTATATGTACTTTAAGGGCATCAGTCATGTTTATCAGTTTATATTTTACTAGAGGCTTGGTGCACGAATTTGTGCGTGGGAGGAGTCCCTCAGCCTGGCTGGTGATTGAGGCCTATGTGGGGAGGGTTACTGGGGGCGAGGAACCCAGAGAGGTTGGTCAGCCAGCCCCCTCAATAGGGGCCAATGGGGGCATTGGGCCAGCCAGGGAGAGGGGCCGTAGGAGGGGGTCTGGCTTGGGGGAGGGGCTGTGGGAGGTTGGCCAGCCAGAGGGAGAGGCTGCAGGAGGTTGGCTATGAGAACACACTGACCACCAGTGGGCAGCTCCTGTGTTGAGCGTCTGGCTCCTGGTGGTCAGTGAGGGTTATAGTGGCTGACCAACCGGTCATTCCAATTGTTCGGTCGTAACAGTCGCTTAGGCATATGTATGTGTGTGTGTATATATATATATATATATATACACACACATATATGCCTAACATTGTCCCTACCAGAGACAATGTTCGTTCCACTATTATTCCACTGTCACCATATGGCAGTCTTCTCTTGTTACATTACAAATTTGGGAGTGACAGTGGCTGTGAGATAACCATGATCACTACACTGATTTTCCCCTCTTGTTCATGCACTATTAGTTTCAATGCAGAACTACTTTGTTCTCTTTTGACTTACTTCCCAGCAATGGCTTTACTCTCAGTGGTGGTGTTTCTGGCTGCTGTCCTGATTCCATCTTTACCTGCAGAAAGAAAGGTAATGTTAGAGTGGCAAATTATGCCAGCCCTATCCAGGCAACTTTGATGGCAAGACACTTTGAGAGTGGGAAGAGCAGGGGTGTCTGGCCCATCACAAAGTACTCACTGGTTGCTCAGAGCACTTAGCACAATTACCTAGATGAAAGTCCAAGGCTGCACTGTCCAGTACAGTAACTGCTAGTCACATGTGGCTATTGAACACTTGAAATGTGGCTTGTCTAAAATAAGCTGTACTGTAAAGTGTAAAATACATTCCAGATTTAAAAGATTTAGTGTAAAAGGAGAGGAAAATATCGCATTAATAGTTTTTATATTGAATACATGCTGAAATAGTATTTTAGATAATCGTAGATTTAGGTCATTAAATTACATAAACTTTATGGAACAATTCACACACCCTACTCTCCCTTCCAGCTTAGATCCCCACACACCCACACACAAAGATAAACCAATAAGTATTGGTGATTGATTTAATGCCTTAATTATATTTCTGTTAATAAAGGAAAAGAATCCGCAAGAGTCCATTAACTGGATGACTTTGCTTCCTCCAAATTACCTTGGAGATGTGTTAATATTGAAAAATTGTCTTTTGAGTGATTTCATAAAATCTGACCACAATAGGTAGAATGAGTTATGTAGAATTTTGAATGCATTTCAACTGAGACTAAATATTCTTTCTCTAATACATTGTAAATACATTCTATCTCTAAATACAGATACCATGCCAGGTCAAAGTTCCCTCCAAATCTAGGATGAGCCTTGACCTCCCCTTTATTCCCTTTGCTGCAGCCTGATCAAATGTAAATGAATATGTCTTAGGGTTCCTATTGTGCACCTTTGTGTTATAAAATATTATCACTCATATGGCATATTAAGAATTCCCTAGAACTAGAAATGGGCATTTGTGGCCTTAAAAGAGGTTTAAAATTTTGTCATGCCATGAATTACACTTCCATTCTCAAATCTTCAAGTTACTTCTTTCCTATTTTTCATAGCTTTGGCTGAGACTCATTGGCAATGCTTGACAACTAATATTGGCTTAACTGAACACTTTTTAATAGTGGCCCTTGCTTCCTTGAATTAACTTATTGATTCTTATATGTTAAATATTTTTCTAAAATGTTTTAAAAACCCCGTTTTTATTTCCCTTTAGGATCAAGCCTTTTCTGCTTTGTTAACCACTCAAGGGAATATCCAAAAAGAGATTGTAAACAAACACAATGAATTAAGGAAAGCAGTCTCTCCATCTGCCAGCAACATGCTAAGGATGGTAAGAAGCAGTAATCTAAGGAAAGTGGTGGGAACAAGCTGGTAGTTGGCATCTGTGAAGAACTTTGTGGCTTACAACATTCTGCCTCTGTTTTGCTATTTCATTTCAGTTATGTTATGGGAAGAAGTTCTTAGTTTTACTTTATAATGCCTAAACAACTCATCAAGTTTACAGAGTTAAAAATTTGGGAAGGCAGAATTAGAAACAGACCATCCGGCATCAAATGTGAAGCTGTTACATTTTTTTCTTCACTCTCTTTCCTAGTCTAAAATAAACCCCCTTTCTTTAAGAATCAGTGCCATTGAGGGTAAATAGCACCCTTTCCAGGGCACAGTCTCTGAAAACTAAATATCTCCTATATGAAAACAGTGGGCTACAAATGGAATTGGGACTAATCTAGACCAGTTTATTACTATCAAAATCTAGAATAATAATCTATAATAATAAAAGCATAATATGCTAATTAGGCTGGACAATCTTCCAGATGGGAAGAGTGGTTAGGGGTGATTATGTAGGCAAGCAGGCCAGCAGTTAGAAGCCAGTGGTCCCGGATTGTGAGAGGGATGACCGGCTGCTGGTTTAGGATCCATCCTGCTACAGGATGGGGCCTAAGCCGGCAGTCAAATGTCCTCCAAGGGGTCCAGATTGCGAGGGGGTGCAGGCAGGTCTAAGGAACCCCCTCCCCATGCACTAATTTTGTGCACCAGGCCTCTAGTATAATTATAATACTTCACATGGTGGTCAGTATTTAGAATAGTTCCATCACTAAAAATCCCAGATGTGGCTTCTGTGCGAACATAAATAGTCATTGCTCTTGTTAGATACATCACCTATGGACTGTCTTTGTGGGAAATGGGCATTGTGGCAGATAAAGACACATCAGAGAGATTGTAAGAACAATGAAAAATAGATAATACATCTACAGAAGTTTTGAAGTATAGGCAAGCATTCCAGTGGTTAGAAGCCAGTGGTCATGGATTGTGAGAGGGATGTCCGGCTGCTGATTTAGGACCCATCCTGCTACGGGATGGGACCTAAGCCGGCAGCCAAATGTCCTCCAAGGGGTCCAGATTGCGAGAGGGTGCAGGCAGGTCTGAGGAACCCCCTCCCCATGCACTAATTTCGTGCATCAGGCCTCTAGTATAATTATAATACTTCACATGGTGGATAGTATTTAGAATAGTACCATCACTAAAAATCCCAGGTGTGGCTTCTGTGTGATCATAAATAGTCATTGCTCTTGTTAGATGAGGCAGTCCATCACCTATGGACTGTCTTTGTGGGAAATGGTCATTGTGGCAGATAAAGACACATCAGAGAGATTGTAAGAACAATGAAAAATAGATAATACATCTACAGAAGTTTTGAAGTAGTGCAAATTAATCTTATCAATCAGATTACAATGCATATGTTTTGTTTTGTTGGAGTTGAACTTTTAAGTGTATATATTTTTTCCTTATAATAATTAGGAATGGGATAGAGAAGCAACAGCAAATGCCCAGAAGTGGGCAAACAAGTGCACTTTACAACACAGTGATCCAGAGGAACGAAAAACCAGTATGTGAATTAGTAAATATTTGTTGAATAAGTGAAAAAATAAAATTATAGTGGACAAATGAAATAGAATTGATCCTTCTGGTGTATTACATTAAGACTATGAGTAAATGTTACTT